ATGCCACTAACATAAAGTAGCTCGAAATAAATCTGTTCTTTAATACATCTTTCTTTGTCTAGCATCTGAGTTACTCGCTGGTTCGCTCGTTAGATTTACGAATGGTTTGTAGACGGCGCGTAAACCAATTCAAATACAAAGTTACGTAAACAAACCTACTTGTCAGCCAATTAACCCAAGAAAAAAAGATAAACATGTTATTGTCCGGCTTAGGTCGGTCCGTGTGGTGAAAAACTGTGACCTCGGGCTTGAAAATGCCTCGGGCAACATTTTCAAGACCTCGGTCACAGTTTTTCACTATACGGACCTCCCAGCCGGCCAATAACATGGATATATCAAACACCAAAGGCAAATAAAACAAAATGGAGAACCAATCAGAATTCTGCTCTTAATTGGGGGATTCTGATCGATCAGCAGACTTTTGAATCTCGCTTGTTCTGACCTTTTGGGGTATATATTTCTCTGTTAAATGCTGTGCATCTCGGACCAAACATTTACCTGATATGCAAAATAGGAACTTGACAAATATTTCCCTGACAAGCAGGTTCAATGAAATCTGGTAATGTTAATGAAGCTCACTGTCTGTGTCATATTTTTTATTCTATTAGCATTATATTCCTAAGCCTCTTAACTACTCTCCCGTTTAGAGGTTTAAGAGAAAGCGGTAGTATCTCTTGTATCCTAGGCGTCAAATCTGGACTGGCGGTAGTTAAGTGGTCCTTTTTAATAGCGACATGATAAAAGTATGATAAAGGAAACTGTTGTTCACCTTTTTTGCACGTGTATTGATGACATGTAGAACAATCCACGTCATTCCACGTGTATCCATGTCTAGCACCAAGAGTGTGTACGCAGTCCTCCCCGCTAAAGTCGTTCGGTTGTTTCTCGGCCCAGTAGCGGAATTTATCAGGGCATCCATCTACCCAGGAGAATAATCCTTCAGTGGCAATATCATTCAAACCAATCCACGCCTTGTCACCATTGTGTCTGTGCTGAATATACACATTTTCCTCTTGAGTTT